CATCTTGAGCAGCAGCGCGTTTGTGGCGCGTCACGCGCGTCAGATGCTTCAATGCGCCCGACACGCTGCTTCAGCTGCTCAGACGCGCTGCGCTTGCTGCTCAAAACGCGCCGCAGGACCTTTTGCTGCGCCTTGACGCGCGTCAACCATTGACTTTGCATGTAAACTCGCTGCTTCTGCTGCGTCCGGTGTGAACGCAGCATAATGATATAAAGATAGAAAAAAAGCACTTTTGGTTCTGTAACAGTTTCTAATATGACATGTAATCTTTCAAAAATAATTTGTGTACAACCAGAGTCAGTTACTGGTAGGCTATATAAATTTAACGTGACTATGCAGCTTTAACATCCTCAGTAACAGAATGTATAAAACAGTCTATTGGTTTATTTATGTTTGTTTTTAGTTTTGGAAAACAGTAAAAAACAAAGTGTTTCTCAGTGTTTTGTTGTGGTCGGCATCCTAACGTAGCTCAGAAACGACTATTTGATCTCATGCCTCCATCCCTTTGTAGCATCGTTGTCATGGTGACCCATAGAAAATGTTTGCTTTCCACATAAAGAACCAGAAGACGTCTGTAAACTGCCTCAAACGGAGGGACAGGAAACGTACATCAGTCTGTATTTACATTGTGTTCGTTCTCAGACGGCATCTTCCGTATTTTACCGTTGACCATCTCAATGTTGAGTCTAAGCTAACAGCATTACGAGGCTATCTAAGCGACGGTGTTTCGATATAGCTTAGGATAAACTTCAAAGGTCTGATGTTACTTCCGCTCAGTGTTCTCCTCGTGCCAGAGGAGCATACATGATGTCCTTTAACAGCGTTACCTGCTGATCTGAATAAGCTAAGCTACTAACATAAAGATGACAGTCCACTAAAATAAAATCCTTTCATTGTGATTTCCAGCTTTCTGTGGTACGTTTTGTAACGTGATTTTGTTGTGATGTAACTTGTCGTCGGTCTTGGTTCCTGTTTTTTATCCCTGTGGTTTCCAGCAGAAACCAGTCGATGGGAAAACTTGGGATTCCAGGGGATTTATTTTTATACCACTCTTTGATTCCTGGGAGGTGGAGAAGCAGGTTTTTCATGCCTTAATCTGTGTTCTTCGACTTGGTCTTTTTACTGTGGAAAAACTACAACCATTGTTATGTTTGTTTTTGATAAATGCTGTAATCGCTGATAAATATGTAATAAAAAAGTGTCTTTAAGATGTTTCACTTTGTTTTTTGTTTTTACATAAGTTATTCTTCTGCTACAACTAAATAACATCCAGTCTATTTAGTGGAGTCCATAAGCCACCAATGATTGTTTATCTGAACTGGCAGCTTGTAGTTAACAGTGGAGGAATGGCAGAGATCCACAGCTCAGGTCTGATCCAGGTGCGGTCCATCTGTCATCAGCTCTGGATTTCAGCATCACCAAAGGATTTCACCATCAGTCACTATTATTGTGTCGAATTTCAGCTTTTTTTCTGCTTGCTGTTGTAAAATTTTCCTTATTGTCTTTAACTTTATTTGTTTATAAAGTTTCAGAAAATTTACTGTATACCTTCAATAAAGCAATAATTGATAATATAATCTGTTTTCTCCTAAACAAATGAAATACTATAGGCTACTGCCACTAATATATGAATAAAAAAAAACACAGCCTCCACTATGAATCTGCATTTTTTAGGATCTTAGGAAAATAAAAATTGTTTGATTGATTGACTTTACCGATCTCACAGTGGAGAGATTTACTCGTTTTATCAGCTCAAATAGTCAAAAAGAAGGTGTTAAAAAGTATATACAGTGCGTCCATGGACGTAATTTTCGGGAGGGCGTGGGGGACATGTCCCTTGCACTTTTTCAAACATCCGTTTTAGTCCCCTGCACGTTTAAATGTCCAAACACAAATTTAACGCTACAGTGAACTGAGAGCCATCAAGCACTAGGACCAAGCGGAAAACCGCAGCTTAAGCTGAAGCCGGCTTCCCTGAGTTTAGACCGCCCACAAGCTCCTGATTGGCCCACTGTCTTTTCTTGTGTGATTGGCTGTCACCGCTGTCACTCCTGAGAAGCTCACTTTAAAAACATCTGATTCGACACAGAATTGGGTCTACTGTATATCTATATATAGATATAGATATATACAGTATATCTATATATATCACAGAAATATTTCACCCAAATTTTAAGTTTTCTGTAAATTTATTACATAATAAATTCCAGTACTGTTTTTTTTTTATTCAACATAAACCTATTAAATAAACATTCAGAAACATATATTCATTAGTTTAAGGTAGCGTATTTATTTAAAATGCATAATTGATAATTAATAAAGTATACTGAGTTAAAATTAATTAATGAGAGTATTTATTTCAAATACATAAAAGTTATTGTTTGATTTCCATAAAGGTAGCCCTGATTATTAATATATCAGCTGCAGGAAAATAAACTGAATATATTTATATATATATACTGTATATATGACAGCTTGTTTTTAAAAGCAGGATTGTTATACAGGGTATTTACATGGGTATTTATCTATATAACTATTGCACTGGCTATCAAATATAAAGAAACAGGTTAGTGCACAGGTTATTAAATAGTAATTGCACAAGTTACTGCCATTGTAGTGGTGCACTGTAGAGTCTGGTGGCAGCAGGGATGAATGACCTGCGGGAGCGCTCCTTTTTACAGACAAGGTGTAACAGTCTTACACAAAAGGAGCTGCTCAGCTCCTCTACAGTCTGGTGCAGAGGGTGGAAGGTGGTGTCCATGATGGATGGAAGCTTGGACAGCACCCTCCTCTCAGCCACTTCCTCCACTGAGTCCAAAGTGCAGCCTAGGACAGAAACGGCCTTTCTCACCTTTTGTTCAGTCTCTTTCTGTCCCGCTCTGAAATGCCAGGGGCCCAACAGACGACAGTGTAGAGGAGGGCTGATGCCACCACAGTAGGGGCCTGCTCACTCTAACGGACCTCAGCCTCAGGAGTTGGAGGCAGCTCTGGCCTTTCTTATACAGGGAGTTGGTGTTATGAGTCCAGTCCAGTTTATTATTGACGTGAACTCCCAGGTATTTGAAAGTCTTCACAGTTTCTATGTCCTGCCCCTGGATGTTAACAGGGGGTTAATGTGGGGGTCTTCTAAAGTCGATCACCATTTCTTTGGTCTTACTGGTATCAAGACACACGTAGTTCTTCTCACACCAGTCCACAAAGTTCATGATGACCGACTGCTACTCCACCTAAGAAACAGCCTACAATTTCCCAGTCATTGGAGAACTTCTAAAGATGGCAGCTGTCTGTGTTGTAAGTGAAGTCCGAGGTGTAGAGGTGAAGAGGAGCGGAGACAGAACTGTGCCCTGGGGGGCCCGGGGGCTTCAGACTGCCACCTCTGACTGACAGGTGTGCAGCTGTGACAGCGTTCGTTTGTTGAGGTAATTGATGGTTCAGGCAGCAAGATGTTTGTCTTCCAGCTTCTCCCTCAGCAGCAGCTCTGGTCTGATGGTGTTGAAAGTTTTGTTTAAGGGTAAAATACTTTAATTTGCCTGTTCCAGTCTGTTTTTTTAGAATGATTTTTTTAAAAATAAAAACAAAAATCTATATTTTATTTAACTAAATTATAATGTACTGCGATGGACTGGCGACCTGTCCAGGGTTGACCCCGTCTGTCGCCCGTAGACAGCTGGAGACAGGAACCGGCTTGGGATAAAGCGTGTCAGAAAATGGATGGATGGATAAATGATCATTTTAGTCTTATTTATTATTTCGTCTCCAGTTTGTACTATTTACACAGTATGTACACTTTTTATATAAATACACTCTTTAGGATTCATACTTATTAATAACATACTTAACAATAATTTGTACATCATGTATTATTGTCTGATTTATATCATTTTAAGTAGTAAAACTCAGTACTTCTGTAGCCTTTTAACCAAAGCACTTTCTTACTCTAACTTAAGTTCTTCATTGGACGTCTATTTTTTACTTTTACTCGAGTAGAAATACATTTAATTACAGCTACTTTTCCTTGAATACATTTTAGGTAATCTCCCCACCTCTGCTTATTAGTATTAATTGTGAGTATAAATACTTTATTAATGCTAAGTACATAAACCTGATGATTATGTATTTTTTTTATTATAAAAATTCAACATGCATCATGTAAGGTTTATATAAATGTTTTTTTTATTACCTAAAAAGTAATTGGCATTTTATTATGTTATATATTTACAAAAATGTTAACGTTTGTAAGGGATGTATTTCACATCTGTGGGATTTCAGCTCATGCGGCTCATTAAAAACAGGAAAATAAGAAGAGACACAATAGAGACCAAATTAACTTTCTCTTAAGGGAAAGAATCATAACGCTGCTGAAACAATCAGCTGTAGGTGACGATCATGTTCTTTATAAATCATAGAAACAAGAAGGACCAAATCTGACTTTTTGAGGTTTAAAATGTTCATTTAGTTCTAGGTTGTTTTTTTCCTGAAAATATTTTATGGAAAATGTAGTTGTCAAGTAAAAAAGTTGAATAATTTCTGCTTTATTTTAACAAAAAGAACATGAAAGTGTCTGCATTTTCTAGCCTTTATTAACACCATCAGTATTATCCATGTACATAACCAATACTTTTTACCAGGGAGAGGTTACATAAACTCCAAAGCTGTAATTTGAACACAGTAGACAAGGAGTACAACAGGTTTTCACTCGGGTTCACCCATCGGGTCTACATGGAGAGAGCTGGACAGCCGCCCTGATCTATTTTAGCTCGCCACAATCAGCAATGACAACCTTGGCTTTAGGGGTGCCGTTCTTTGTGCCTTGCTTCTCTATCGCCTTGACAACGTCGATTCCCTCCACAACGCTGCCAAACACAACGTGCTTCCCGTTCAGCCTGCAGAGCAGAACGACCGATCAGTATGCGAAGCAAAAACCAGGAAGAAGCTGAAACTGACCGGACTCACCAGTCAGTGGAAGCCGTGCAGATGAAGAACTGGGAGCCGTTGGTGTTGCGCCCTGCGTTCGCCATGGACAGCGTCCCCATTCCTTTGTGCTTCAGCTGGAAGTTCTCGTCAGGAAACTTGTCGCCGTAGATGGATTTGCCCCCGGTGCCGTCATGGTTGGTGAAGTCTCCGCCCTAGATTTAGAGAAGAAGTCTTTAGGGTTTAGCAGTCGTTCCCATCTGGCCGAAGCATTTCAAAAGGCCTAACGTCTACCTGGCACATGAACTTTGGGATGACGCGGTGGAAGCTGGAACCTTTGTAGCCGAATCCTTTCTCGCCGGTGCACAAGGCACGGAAATTTTCTACCAAAACATAAAAGTAAATAAATGCAAACATAAACTGCAACACAAAAACAAAATCAGATAGAGAGAGACCAGATATTGTTTATGTTTGCAATCTACCTGGATCTTATATTAGATCAACCAATTGATTTGTTCTAATTGCATAAGGAACAATCCGAAAACAATCCAAAAATCAGATTACCACAGGTTTTTAAAGGTTGGGATATTTTCTTTCAAACTAACTATTTAAAACCTGCTCATACTCGTCATCATCCTCTTGTTTTTTCTCCAAGTTCACTAAACAGAGTAATGATGTTATGTTAGTTAATAAAAACCGCTCCACATTCTTCGTATCTTCTCCAAAGGTCACCGTCCTTGGACAAGCTCTCTGTCGAAATAAGGAGCGCCCCCTTATCTTCTCTGCTGCTTGGCCTTGCCCGGGTCTCTCGCACGTGCTCTCTTGGGATGTCAAAGAACCTGGAGCCGGGCTTGACAGTGTTATCGCAGATGTAGTTTCTTATCACCCACACCTAAAGGCGGTCTGCAACTGACGTAACACGGACAGGAGCGGAGAATAAGGAATCTGGGCTTGAGCAGAGAGTCCTAGACAATCCTCTCCCCAGACATTTCCTTCAGGTCATCTGGCAGAAGTCTAAGGGGTTCCTAGGCCAGCCAACAAACATAAGCCCCATTTACACTACGTTTTTGAAAACCCTCTGAGATCGGATAACTGCTGAGTGCAAATGGCACGCGAAACTGACCCAGATCGTGCCAGACACAACCGAACTGCGTTAACCTGGTACTAGTTCATCAGTAGATCTCGGCTCGGTTCAGTTCTGGCTCCGTTCTCAGATAACAAAGAGCACATTAGCAGACCACGTCATCTCCTTACAGTCATAAACTCATAAAACTTCCGACATTCATAAAAACACTAGCTTCCCTACCTTGCTACATGATTTCCAGTGATGATTCTGGGCACGCAAAACTTAACCAGACTGTTCCAGACAGAACCGAACCGCTCTAAGAACCGTGGGAGCGGGATGTGTAAATGGTCATAAGGGCCATTGAAATACATAGAACGAAGGAGTTTCTGTCCTCCAATGATCCCAGAACATATATTTCCCGGGGCTTAGATCCCTCTCTTAGCGTCTCTAAAGATAAACAGGCTCTGGATAACGGGTCACGGCCGAGGATCGGTGTACGTTCTTGGTAGTCAGGTCTTCTTCAGCGCCAGTTTCAAGAAGTGACCCAAGGCCATCCCCCTGTGGGCCCACCACCTGCATGGGGAACCATGAAGGACCAATGCTTAAAAGGAAGCAATCGGAGGCTCAAGGGCTGGTTATTCTCCCGCAGCAGTGTGTCACAGTGAGCTTGTTGCAGATATTTTTTTATTAATGCCCAATATTGAAGCGTGGTCTGTGCTATTTTATTCCACAACGCAAGATGGACAATCAGGAACTATCTGTGGGTCTAGATGCGGCCGAGGCGGTGAGGAACTGGGGGCAAGTATGTGCAACAATCGAAAAAGAGCGGGGATCCAGGTGGAAAAAGGGTCCCAGCGTTCTTGCGCACCTCGCTCTTCTAGCTGGTCCATCTTCACGAGTCGTTTTCCACAATGGTGGTCATACAAACAAAACAAGTTAGTAAGGTACCAACCAGGAAATATACATATTGTAGAATGGATGTAGATTTGACCAATCAGAGGCCTCCTGTCTGCGACACTGTCTGCGGTCACCTACAATTATGGAGAGGTGCAGCAGAGTGTCTGCGGAAGGGGCGGGGCATATCTGCATTAATTGCGACAAACACACAGACCACCTGGTTTCTGAGTATAAACCAGCCTTTAGGCCTCAACAACCTGATCCATGGACGTCTAAACAGTCTCTGCTGACAGGCTTAAAACACGCCCATTTCTTCATCTTCGCCATGTCTGCTATATTTCTAGGTATTCAAAGGTATACTATGCAACCGGTGTTGATTTTCCAGCGAGGCTCCCCCCAGAGGCCGAAAGTAAAAGTGCACTGTCGTAAATATGCTCAGCTGTTCTCCTGGTTTCTCCGTCAAGTTGTTTTGAGCTTAGCAGACAAGCGAACGCAACGAATCACCATGTCTACTGCGGCAAGTGACTATTTTGTTCCAATTTTTCGAGTTTGAAAATTTCGCTGTTTTCTCGCTGGTTCCGCCATGATAACTGCACAAATATTGCCACTGCACTAGCAACGAGGATGCCTTTCACTGGGAGCGTGTAGCAGTTCTCGCCGTAAAGCAAGACCGTCTCTCGCAATGCACGAGACTTCTGAGCCTGTGGGTGCAGGCCGAAGGCTCCTGCAATTGCAAGTACGGTATTTCCCCTACAGACCACCAGGGCGGCCGACAAAACCTTTGTTCGACCTGAAATGACTCATTTAATCATCCAAAACGTTATGGAACACATTAATTAACTGAAAAATGTTGCATAGTATGCCTTTAAGATCCATATTCAAGCTTCCATTAATGGCTAATATTTGGACCAGTGCAGCATTTTTTACCAACTCTAGTCCTTAGTGTAGAAGTAATTCAGCTGGAACAGCCCCTCTAAGAATCTGTTGACATCATGTTGTCATAAGAGTGTATATAGTATACTAAGAATAAATCAATCCTCAAGGGTTGGGTAGTAAGGGAGGCTTTATATTTGTAAAGTAAACCTGTCCAGCACAACTATGGCAGCCAGTAATCCAGTCTACTTGACATGATGCTGAACAGGACAAGGGGAAATGAGGGCAGGTGAGTAACTGCTTTGTGCCGGGTACGTGAATCAGGATCTCCTTTGGATGTGTTCTCTTTAAACCTGATGGGTCATTTTGTTTGGCTGTTTCTAAGGACAGATCTGCTATTTGGCCTTTAAGGTGACCTACAGGTTCTGTTTTGATTCTTCAGCTGTTTTAAAAGGTTCTATATGATAAGCCTTCAAAAATTGAGTATCGACGTGACGGGATATTTCATTTGGTTATACAAAGCATTAATATGTTTTTAAATATTAGTTGTTTTCTGGTGCTATTTTTCCATTTTACTCAGGTTTTTGGAGGAGTTATAAATAAGATTAACAAACCTACATATTGAATCTCCTTATTGTATATTCCTAAATTTGTGATTTACACTTTTCTGATTCTTACTCCTAAATTTGTGATACGTACTTATGGTTTAAGATAAGAAACGTATGAATAGTTGTCTGAATTTCTGATGAATAAATATAGAAAAAAAAATCTAATTTAGGATTTATATTTGGGCCTTATAGATACATGTGACATCAGATTTTCTCTGGAATCACAGGATCCAAAGCTGTGAATACAAATCAGAAAGTTTGCAACTAGACCAGTAAAACAGACAAATTCACAAGTTTAAGGATACAACTCAAATTTAGAAGAAAATAAATGTAGTAGAAATGACATATTTGCAAGAAGAAATCACTAATTAAGTAAGAATCAGTCATTTTTTAGTATAAATCATAAATTTAGGAGTATGAATCAGAGATTTATGAGATTTGTAAATTTTTGATTCATATTAGTCAATTTTTTTACAATTTATTTGTAACTCTCTAACCTCTATTTATAACTTTAAAAAATTGAATTCTCACAGATAAAGATTTGATTTCACATCCATCAACAGGTTGAAAAATAAGGAACAAATACGAATCCTATATCTATTTACTTTATTCATTTTTGACAATATTCCTTAATTACATTATTACTGTTAAAAATTCAGACATGTTTGCGTACACTTTTATTCTATTAGCAGCTAGTTCACCCCATATGTTTCATTTTATATCCATGTTTCTGTCTCCTGCAGGAGTTTTCCGTCCATGCGGCTGAATGTAGCGTGATGAATGCCTTACTGTGGCCAACAGAAAGTCCTGAAATCTCTTTATGAATACTCAGAGCATAAAGGCCATCTTCCTGCACTTACCCAGTAAATAGGTCATGTGACTAAGAATAGCAACATGGTTCCAGACACAGTCAGACGCTAATGCATCATGTAGGTTCACTTCCGAGGAACGTCTTGATTACGAGTCCCTTTGCTCTGACTGACATCCTGAGGACTTGTAAACACAAACAGATACAGGCAATCGTTTCTTTATCTTTTGTTTTCCTCCTTATGTGTATCATTGTCAGCTGTAGATGCTCCTAACAGCTCCAGGAAGTATTTACTCTCATGTTAATTGTTGAGGCATGCAGAGGCCACTTTCAGCATCACCCTGACAACAGATGAGGAATAAACCTCTGGGGATAAGATCGGATGTCACAATTGCAGAATCAGACACGGGGCCATGGTGAGCGGGGGG